TTTATCATGTCCATCTTTGCACAAAATGTTCCTTTAATATCTCCAATTTTCTTGAACAGATCTCTGGATTTCTCTTTTTATTATTTTTCTCTACATCTTTGCACTGTTCATTTAAGAAGGCCCTCTTGTCTTTCCTTGCTATTCTTTGGAAGTCTGCATTCAATTTTCTGTAACTTTCCCTATCTCCCTTACATTTTGTTTCCCCTCTCTTCTCTGCTATTTGTAAGGCCTCGGACAACTACTTTGCTTTCTTGCATTTCCTTTTCTTTGGGATGGTTTTTGTTGCTGCCTCCTTTACAATGTTACAAGCCTCTATCCATAGTTCTTCAGGCACTCTGTCCACCAAATCTAGTTCCTTAAATCTCTTCTTCACTTCCACCGTGTATAAGGGATTTGGTTTCGATTATACCTTACTAACCCAGTGGTTTTTCCTACTTTCTTCAGTTTAAGCTTCAATTTTGCTATAAGAGGCTGTGATCAGAGCCACAATCAGCTCCAGATCTTGTTTTTGCTGACTGTATAGAGCTTCTCCATCTTTGGCTGCAGAGAATATAATCAATCTGCTTTTGGTATTGCCCATCTGGTGATTTCCATGTGTAGAGTTGCCTCTTACGTTGTTGGAAAAGAGTGTTTGTGATGACCAGCTTGTTCTCTTGACAAAACTCTATTAGCCTTTGCCCTGCTTCATTCTGAACTCCAAGGCCAAACTTTCCTATTGTTCCTTTTATTTCTTGACTTCCTACTTTAGCATTCCAGTCCCCAATAATGAGAAGAACATCTTTCTTTGGTGTCAGTTCTAGAAGGTGTTGTAAGTCGTCATAAAATTGGTCAATTTCAGCCTCTTCAGGATTGGTGGTTGGTGCATAAACCTGGATTACTGTGATGTTGAAAGGTCTACCTTGGATTCGTACTGAAATCATTCTATCATTTTTGAGATTGTATCCCAGTACAGCCTTTCCTACTCTTTTGTTAACTATGAGGGCTACTCCATTTCTTCTACAGGATTCTTGCCCTCAATAGTAGATATGATAATCATCTGAATTTAATTCACCCATTCTCGGCCATTTTAGTTCACTGACGCCCAAGATGTCAATGTTTATTCTTGCCATCTCCTGTTTGGCCACATCCAGCTTCCCAAGGTTCATAAATCTTATATTCCAGGTTCCTATTCAGTATTTTTCTTTGCAGCATCGGACTTTCACTTCCACTCATGTCCGCATCTGAGCATCCTTTCGGCTTTGGCCCAACCACTTCATTATCTCTGGAGCTACTTGTACTTGTCCTCCGCTCTTCCTCAGTAGCATGTTGGACACCTTTCGACCTGAGGGTCCCATCTTCCAGCGTCTTATCTTTTAGCCTTTTGTTTCTGTCCATTGAGTTTTCTGGCAAAGATACTGGAGTGGCTTGCCAATTCCTGCTCCAGGTGGATCGCGTTTAGTCAGAACTCTCCACTATGTCCTGTCCGTCTTGGGTTGTCCCTGCATGGCATAGCCCATAGCTTCTCTGAATTACTCAAGCCCCTTTGCCACAACAGGGCAGCAATCCGTCAAGGGGTCAATCGGTGAAAGGGCTAACATTAGCAGGAGCACCCAATTTACAAGCACAAAACTCTCACAATGTATTAGCTGGAACACAATATGTTTATATTAAGGAATGAGCAATATGATTTCTCATGACAAACCTTCAGAAGCCGGTGAATTACAAGACACCAGAACCAATGTGCAGTTCAATTATCTTTCTACTGCTATTGTGAATAAGAGCACATTCTGATCGCACAGCTGATTTCAGAGACAAGTTCTTATGCTAAATGTAGTTAAATAGTCTGGCAATTGTCATACTGAATCAGGGAATGGCTATTCTATCTCAGTATCTGTTTGCAACATGGCAATATATTCTGAGAAACAGCCATTTAAAACTTACAATTTCTCCATCAATTATATAAAGATTTTTTAAAAGGCAATTTATGTCAATTACTATCACACCATCATGGCAGTATCAACCCACTTTTTATACTTCAAATGTCTTATATTTTCTTTGTTGTTGTTGTTGCAGTGCATGTGCACATCTCTTATCACCTTACAGATCTCAGCCATGTGCCTTGCCCTTCCTCTCTACTTGAGGATTTTTTGCACGGTCGTGTCTTAATGCATTTACAAATATACCACAAGTATCATCATCATGCATCGTCAAGTTAATTCTGACTTATGGCAAGCCTTTTCAATATTTTCCAGGTAGAGAATACCCAGAAATGTTTTACCATTCCTTGTTTCTGGTGTACCCTGTGCATCTTAACCAAGGCCACACAGGCTGGCTCTACTCAGAGGAGGCACAGTGGGGAATCAAACTCCTGACCTATAGCTCTTCAGCCAGATACCTAAATAATTTCCAAGCAGAATTCTGTGTTTATCTGAACAGAATATTAAACTCCATAGATTTTATTTAATTGAACCTCACAACAAAGTATTTTAATTCTAATACTTATAAATAGGGGTGTGTGATATACAAAAGAGATAAACCGCTTTGGAAGTATACAGTGCATTTCATATTTATATGAGAAAGCAGTTTCAATTCATTCAGAGCCAGGTCACTTACCTTTTGAAATAGTTAATGCTGGAGACCATTGTGACCGTAGAATATCGAGACAAATACTGCCATTACTGTTAATATTTGGATGGTAAATTCTTGTAGTAAATGCAACCTGTTAAGACAAGAAAAGTTCTCTCATGTGTATTTATGTACTACAATAAACAAACAACTCCATCACTCATATCAGGATGCAAACAGGATACCCACCTTGGGTGGTTTGAAGGGGTAATCTGTTGGGAAGTGAATTGTCAAGAAGAACACCCCACCCTGATAAGGACTGTCATTCTGAAAAGAGAACACTGTTAGAATGCCATTTACGCCAAGTTTGTATGTATGTTATAGAAGACTATCAGACTACTTACCGGTCCCATTATTGTTGCTTGCCAATGGAACACTAAAAGGAAGGGAGGGGGAGAGAAAAAGACACCGACTAAGATATTTAACACTGAACAAATGAACAGCTATCCAAAAGCTAAGAACTAGCTCTACTGGAAAGAATTCTGTACAGTGGGGTCTTGACTTGAGAACTTAATCCGTATTGGAAGGCGGTTCTCAAGTCAAAAAGTCTGTAGGTCAAGTCTCCATTGACCTACAGTGCATTGAAAACCGATTAATCCCATAACAGGCCGTTTTTGTTCCATTTTGGTTTTTTTCTGGTCTGTAAGTCAATTCTCAGGCTGCAAGTCAAACCTAAATTTTGCGGCCAGAGAAGTCTGTAACTCAAAAAGTCTGTAAGTCAAGCCGTCTGTAAGTCAAGGGTCCACTGTACTTCAGCTTCAGAACTGGTCGATCTACTGAACTTTGTTAAATGTTATATTATAACCCTGTACAGACAGCACGTACCTCATGTATTCAACTGTCACTAGACAATGGGACTGTGTTCCTGTTGACTCTGCTGGACCTCTCAATGACTTTCAAAACGTCAAACATTGTATCCTTCTCTCTGGGATGGTACTTGGAATCACTGGTTTACAGTGGCTTAAGTCCCTCCTGGGGCGGGGGAGGGGGAGAACTCAGAAGGTGCTGCCAGGGGACTCTGACTCAACACCCTAGCCTCAGGGTTTTGCTTTGTCACCTATCCTATTTAACATCTACATAAAACAGTTGACACAGGCTGTCTGGAATGTTGGGGTTCAGTGTCATCAGTATGTGGATGGCACTCAATTCTATCTCTCCTTTCCATGTAAATCTGATTCAGTTCTAGATCAGTATCTTGTCTAAGTAATGGACTGAATGAGGGTGAATAAACTGAAACTTATTCCAGACAAGACAGAGGTGCTCCTGGTCAGTTGAAAGGCAGAAAGGAACAGAGATGTAGCTAAAGCTAGATGGGGTTACACTCCTTTTAAAAACGTAAGTGCTTGGGTGTGTTCCTGGATTCACCTCTGAGCCTGAATGCCCATGTTTCTGCAGTGGTCAGGAGTGCCATTGCACAGTTAAAACTAGTACATCAGCTTCACTCCTTCCTGAGAAGATCTGATCTGGCCGTAGTGACACAGGTCTTAGTTACATCACAACTTTTTGGGACTGCCCAGGTCTTAAGATAATCAAGGGAGACCTTTTTCTTGATTCCACCACCCTAACAGATGTTTTTGTGGGGACAAAGGAGAGAGCCTTCTCTACCATTGCTCCCAGATTCTGGAACTCCCTTCCATGGGAAATCAGGATGGCCTCATCTTTGCTGCCCTTTTGTAGGCAGGCGAGCACCTTTCTCTTCCAAGAGGCTTTCCCTTGACTAAAAGTCCGAGAGGGGTTTTTAATGGATTGTTGTGCCTTGTTGCTTTTGAATGTGTTTTGAATTGATGCTGTTTACCATTTTAGTGTGGAATTCGTTCGATTCTTTTAAAATACAGATTTATATACTTACATTAAGGAGAAAAGTGGAGTAAAATACTTTAAAATAATAAATGAATTCATTATTTGGCATTTGTAATACAAATAAATAACATGGACGTATAACTGTTGCCATTTCATTACAAGACAACAACTTTGAGCAATGAGATGCTCAAATTGTTCAAGTGAATGCTTCATTTAACAGTCATTTATCTTCCATACATTAGCAAAACAAGTCTTTTACCTGGCTATGCAGGCAAACCTGTAACTACTAAAGACAAAAATTAAGGTAAATTGAAGTTGTCCTTTAGAAAGGAGAAATGACCACCATCATCAGTTTTAACTGCAGTGCACAACAGCCTTGGAAGAGCTTGAGCAGGTGGTCTCTAGTAATGTTTGCTCAACCAACAGGGCTGCTGTTTTTATCTGATATAGAACTGTACCTTAAGAAAATCAAGGCTCTATAGTTCAAACTGACTAGACATTTACTTATAATTAGAGATGGGGGTATTTGTATACAAATACAAATATCCCCCACAGGTGCAGATAACAAGGCTCTGGCCCCCTGGGGCCAGACCATCCACTCACAATTCCATCGTGGCCACAAGCTCCACACACCATTCCTATCACTCCAGAGCTCACAATGGATTAGCCACTCCTGGCAGAAGGCGGTATGACGAGTGTCTCTGCCAGGTCAAAGAGTGGCTCGCCAATAACAAGCTCCAGAGTGACAGGAATGGCACATGGAGTTCGTGGCAGTGGTGGAATTGTAAGTGGACAGTCTGGCCCCAGGGGGCTGGACGCCTGTTACCTGCACCTTTTCATTTTAAATCACACAGCTGTGTATATCTAGATGCATTCTGAGTGACATCTGAGGGAATAGGAATCTGAGGTTTTTCCATACTTACTGTCATCTCCAACTGGCCCGGCTGAACACTGTGCTGGAGGATCACGTGCCAAATCATTCAACTCCTAAAAAAAAAAATCCAAAGTTGATTCAAAATATAGCTCACTTTACCTGCCTACAAAAGCCATTCAAACTGCAGTCCAAGATAGGTTCCTTTTTTTTACTATTAAGTTGTACTAAATTCTGAACTAAATTCAAATTCAAATTGACTAAATTCAAATTAAATATTTTCAAAAAAATCAAGACAACATTATCTACAGCAACCACTTTAAGTTCTTGCTACCAAAACAGGTAATTACAACAATAAACAAATGGTTACAGATAAAATGCACTGATTTACAGTGACTCAAATGTAACTTCTTCACTTATCAAAGCTTTATATGATAACCCATCTACTTCTAACTGAAAGTTATATCTTGCTTCTAGGCTGTCACATATAAACCTGCTATGAAAGTGAACACAAGTGCCTTCTGCTGTATTCCGATTTCTTCACTCAACAAAATGTATGCCTTGATATTTCACTCCAGTAGTTTATTCATTTGCAATACACTTCCTCACTGACAATTTGGAAGTTTTTATACAGATTGAGTTACAAGGTTTTAACTTTCCACCTAATATCAATTCCATGTCTTCTGACAGGTTCCCACCACAGCAATGGCTCAAAAAGCGCAGCTTGCCAAGGACTCAGTGGTGCTTACTTGCCAGTCGTCATGTAAAGATTCAAACTGTAGAACACACTGCCCAAAATCCTACTAGCAGTGTCAACTAGAGCAGACTCACTGAATCAATAAAATTTTCATATGTGTTGACTTACCATTCAGTACAGTGGACCCTTGACTTACAGACAGCTTGACTTACAGACTTTGAGTTACAGACTTCTCTGGCCGCAAAATTTAGGTTTGACTTGCAGCCTGAGAATTGACTTACAGACCAGAAAAAAACCAAAATGGAACAAAAACGGCCTGTTACGGGATTAATCGGTTTTCAATGCACTGTAGGTCAATGGAGACTTGACCTACAGACTTTTTGACTTGAGAACCGCCTTCCAATACGGATTAAGTTCTCAAGTCAAGACCCCACTGTAGTAGATTCAGTGGGTCTTGGGTCTACTCTAGTAATAGGTTTTAGGCAATTTAAATTTATTGCTTTTAATGAGAAATGCAAACAACACTGAAACTGGAAGCCAGAAAAAGCAAACCCATTAAAGAAGAGGAAAAAGGCTTTAGCTGAGGTCTACTCTTTTTTCTATCGTTTATTTCTATTTGTTTCAGGTACTTAGCTCCTTTCAATTCAAGTCAGTAGCAGGTTGTGAACAGCTCAGAAGTATTGCAACTAGAAATAATAAATAACTAAATGTTAAAATTGAATGGCAGCAAACGGAATGCAGAATGAAAGAAAAGTTATATCTCCCCTCCCAATCTCCACAGCATCCTTTTAAACTGCAATCCTTATTCATTCCCATTAGAGCAAGCAACTGAAAAAGTATTTCCCTATAGCAGGAAGAGCAGAGAAAGCAACTTCTCACCATGACAAAGGGACATGCTGGATCCCCATCTAACCAACCAATGAACAGAGCAATCGGTATGAAATGTGATGGTGGAAAAGATCAACCTCTGGGGGTTCTCTATAGTGCCAGTCTCTATGGTTTCCCATACCACAGAAACCTCCACACTGGCAGGGCAGTAGCTTCTTTCCAGGACAGAAAGTGGGAAAGGCCTCAGACTTTGCTGGGAGAGTGGAACAAGGGCTTCCAAAGCATCCAGGGAAGGTGGCGGGCAAACCCTGAGATATCTCCCTGGGGGTCCCAGCTGCCGCGATCGGCACCTTCAGAGCTCTCAAAGGGTTTTCCCCCCGACATCGGAGGAAGCCCTTTGAGAGCTCCAAAGCCAAAGAGACAGGGAGAAAGGGCTGGAAATTCAATTTTTTTTGCTTTTTTGCCTTCTGAAATGCTGGAATGGATTACAGTGGTGCCTCGCTTAACAGGCGCTCAAGGTACCGCTGTACTCAGAAGAAAGTGAAATGTGATGCATGCAACAAACCCTACTAATATTATAAAATTATGAACATCTATCAAATATCTTGAATTAACATCAACCAAGTTTTATGTCAGCAAAAAAAGGGCACGTTTCCAGTACAAATGCTTTTACAAAATGCATTCATGTCTGCTGCAGGACAAAACATCTCAAGGTATTCACTAGTGTACAATAAAAGCGAAATTCCAGTAAAGATCACAAGCTGCAGCTTTCTAAAAAAATGCATGCCATAATCCTATTGAAAAAACATATATGGAACAGTAATTACACAAGTGCCAAGGAGAAAACAATTTGTGCCATTACTGTTCCACACTTCTTTTCCAATAGGATTTTAACCCTAACATTCAATGAAGCAAGATATATTTTTAAATATATTTACAGAATTAAATGATCAACTCAATTTACTTTTAATGACCTACCTCTAGTGTCAATTATACTACTATGATAGAATATTACTACTATGAAATATTACTATGACAGAATTCTTCCCATGCTCTCCCCCATGTGCCCACAAATTTACTTTCAATGCTTTAATCTACTTCTGTCAGTAGAAGTAGCTGGGTAGATCTTGCACATTATTTCTGACAACAGAAAGGAAAAGAATTTATTGCAGCCACCATGGAAGAAATAATTCACAGCCTAGATAAGCTTCAAAGCTTTGAAGCAATGGAATGCACATACACCATTGGGGCATCCACAAAAAGTATTCCATAGATTAAACACTTGTTCAAGCTCACAAGAGTGTTTAATTCACACATACTGTACAGTAGACATGCACGCTGGCCATTGTGGGCTGTATAAGGTATCAATGGAGTTTTGGGATAATAATCTGAAGTCTGGCAAGAAACCAACCAACTTCAACAAGGCAATATTCTAACAAGTTACAGTATGTTCTTGCAAGCAAGATCATCATAGGGTTGTTAATTCTCCAACTATACCATGTATTTCTACAAGTATCACTCTGTTTCAAGAATTACTGGGATGCAGATATGATATATTATTCACTGTTTTATTTTTAAAATCCTATAAATATTTAGCACCAAGCCATTGGATGAATTTATTTCAAGCAAAGCAATATAAATCAGGATCCCAACTGATACTTCTTGTTTCTTTAACATACTGTATGCACATTAGTTACTCTAAAACTCTGACCACTTAAATATGTAAATTTACAACTAGAGCATTTGTAGTATCTGGGTGATATACTTCACTTACTTTTATTTTTATACATTTCATATCCTATTAGGAATGATAACTGGAAGTAAATCACACATAAACCACAGAGATTAAAACAGTCATAATGGATCAGAAAATATACTGACAATACCCACACTACATATTATTAACAGGGCATTAGAAATACGAGATCTTAGTTCTGAACCAATGTGTAAAAACTGTGATGAAACAGATGAAGGAAACAAAGGTGAATGCCATTACCACAGCACTCAGATACTGCTCATGTCTGTAGAGATAAACCTGTACATGACTGATTATGCCACATGGGCTTTATCAGACAAGGAAAAGGCTATGGAGGGCTCTTCCCTTTTGTGGAAGCAGGCTACAGCTAGTAATAGTTCTAGCAGTGCTTTTTTCCATCTTGAGATTATCAGAAAGTTTTCCTCCTTTTAGACAGGTCAGATCTTGTTAAGCTGAACCATAATTATGTAACTTGATAACCACACTGCACTCCATTATGGAGCTACTTCAGAAGAGAACTTGGAAACTCTAACTAGTACACATCACTCCTGCTTGCCAGTTTGCTTCCAACCTCACCCCATGGCATTACTTGTAAACTTTAAAGTTCTGTACAGTTTAAGGCCCTTATATGATAAACAAAATCTCTTCTCACTAACTCAGGGCACAACCAGAAAGAGTGGTAGTTCTACACAGATTCAAGCTCCTTGTACCACAGAAGCTCAGATCATACAAGTTGTATGATTCACATACCCCTTTTCTTTTAGTCCAGAATACTGCATTTAAAGGATTTATTTTTAAAAATTGTTGTTACTGTACATGTATTTCATACTTCCATTGCATATAACTCCTGATTCAATGTCCTTAAAAATTTAAGATGGAGGGTTAGGTATGTATCCATGTACAGCAACACTTTTTAGGTTAAGAAAAAGTAGTAATTATCACTTAAAATTTATGGTTTTCCAGGACACAGCTTTCCCAAAATTTTGTTATGTATGTACAGTATTTCATACTTTTCTTGCAAGCAGCTCTTGATTCAAAGTCCTTTAAAAAAACACACACCTAAAACAGCACTGAAATTGTTTATATCAGTACACCACAAGATTTGTTTAAACTGTCAACCAATATGGCACCAGAATCATTACAGATTCTAAAATAAAGCTGTTTAGGAACGGTGTTCTCAAGAAACACTCAGAAATGTTTCAGTGAGAAATAAAATGCTCATCTAATAATACAACTCCAAGCCAAAAAAAGTGAGGAAACAAAGAAACAGCAAACAAACAAAAAAAGAACACTGTGGGCTGAATAAAATGTATCAAGTACTCATGCCAAAACAAAAACAAAAACCTGGCCATACAGTGGTGCCTTGACTTACAACTGTCCCGATATACTGTATGAGCATTTTGAGTTGCGACCAGCTCCGGCTGCAAAATTTTGTTTCAACTTACAGCCGGAGCTTCGAGTTGCAATCAAAAGAAGCAGGGAAAAAAGCGAGGAATTCAAATTAGAGGGCTATCTGTTGGTCGGTGAAGAGCTCTTGTAGCTCTTTCACCCCAACGGTTAATGTGGGTGCATCGGAGGCTGCTTCGGACTGCCTGGTGCTGCTTTCTGCTTGTGAGTAAGTATATTTACTTAGTTTTGCAGCGTGGGTTTGGGTTATGTTTCTGCATTGTGGGGGGCATGTGTATTTTGCTTTGCATTGCAATGGGGTTGGCTGAGTGTGGGGGGATAGCTTTTTTGTTTTGTTTTACAGCCCCATCGCAACTTGTTTTGTTTTGTTTTCCTGCTGGAACGGATTAATCCCACTCCAATGAATTCCTATGGGAAATGGTGATTCA